AACATAGAGTTCAAAGAAAACAGATAAATGGGGCACGTCATAGGAATTGTAGTAAATTTACCCATGAGATTGTCATGACTGTTACAGACACTAGGGTTTATTAGTTTTGGATGACAGGCGATTGTTCTTGGCAGTAAATAAACAGCTATAGCTAAGCTTAGAGTCAACATTGAAATTGGTGAATGATAAACTCTAAAGGAGGAACAAGCTTCTCTCTGAAACTTCACAAGCCAGCTCTCCATTGTCTGCACTGCTCTCAACATTAACTTCTAGGTTCCCAAGACAGCTCCTTAAGCTCTGACCACCCAGTGGCTTTTCTAGCCCAAAGTTCCAAGCTCCTTCCACAATCCTTCCCCAAAACTGCATGGTCAGGTCTGTCATAGCAGTAGCCCACCCTCTAGTGCCAATTTCTATCTTTCTTAAGTTTCTGTTGCTGTGATAAAATACCATGACCAAAAAAACCAACCAACCAACCAAACAAACAAACAAAAACAAAACAAAAAAACTTGAGAAGTAAAGGTTTTGTTGTTCTTACAACAAGCCACACTCTATTACAGAGGAAAATCAGGGCAGGAACTCAAGACAGGAACCTGGAGGCAGAAACCATGGATAAATGCTGCTTACTGACTTACTCTCCATGGCTTTATATATAGCCCAGACCACCTGCCCAAAGATGACACCACCACAGTAGACTATGTTCTGCTACATCAATCTAGAAAATGTCCCCACAGTCTTGCCTGCAGGCAATCTGATGGAACCATTTTCTCAGTTGAGGTTCCTCTTCTTAGATAGCTCTAGCTTATGTCAAAAGTAAAAATACCAGCCGAGCACTTGAAAGGCAGAGGCAGGCGGATCTCTGTGAGTCTAAGGCCAGCCTGGTCTACACAGAGAAACCCTGTCTCGAAAAACCAATCAATCAATCAATAAAAATACCAACAAAGACAGCTGTGAAGTAAAATGCATCATCAAGATACCAAAAAGTTACCCTTGTGGTGACAAAATAAAAACCCACCCAACAAAAGAACCTCCTGATATTCTGATGACATAGTGACTATCAAGAAGTAGCCCCAGAAAGCTTCAGAGTAGTGGACATCTGACTTCCTAAATCACATTAATTGATGGGAACCCATAATCATGAGGAGGCTACAGACTTCCAGTCCTGTTGCCTGCATCTTACTCTGGCATATTCTCCAGGGCAACGACAATTCTAAAAACAATAAATTAAAAAAGAAATCCCTCCAGAGTGTTCCTCTGTACAAATACAGCCCCTGGCTTAATTATCTACACACAATAACTCAGGTCTCAGAAGATCTAAGGAATGAACCTCAGGAGACCCCCCCCGTGTCATCAAATTCCCTCTTCTTTCTGCATTCTGCCCAGTCTGCCTCCTACTCCTTAAACCCCTCATGGTCTAAATGCAAATTCTGTGGCTCGGTCCTCAATTTCCCCACTGCTGGTTCCTCACTCTGCACCTCTTTCCTCTTCAGCCTCTAGGTAAATAAGAATGGTCCGCTAAGGCCTTATGTCTGTAGTAAGTTTCTCTTTTCTCTGGCAAATCCCACAAAGGGTAACAAAGAACATTCACACCCACTGAGTGTGGGCTAATGTAGGAAATGAGATTTTTTTAATCAAGGAAAACAGCGCAAGAACATCTAGGAGGCTGCACTCTCTGACCTAATTATGACCTTCTTCACACATCACCTCAGCAGTTTTCACATCCAAGAAGTCAGGATGTAGGATTTTGTGTACTCTGAGATACCGGAGTAAATCAAATGTCAACTTAAACAAATAAGCATACATAGCAGACCAAAACAGGACAGTAACCTTTCAAGGAAAATTAAGTGACTACACAATGAGTATTAGGATATATAAGCCAATGAAATAAAATTTCTGACTTACAATAGTTCATTTGATACAGAAAAATAACTGCAAAATATCAAAGTCTAGGCTAAGTCCATAGTGATGGGTAGTTGTAGGAACAGGAAGAAATAAAAGAAAGTTTAAGAGTATAGAAAAAATATTACTTGCTAGTAAATCTGGGTAATAATCCCTGCACATACTATGAAGAGGTAGACTAGGTCATTCTAGCCTGAGCACTTACATGGGGTAGTGTTTAGAGAAAGAATTAGACTGATATTGTGGAAGTTAATTATAATCCCAACCTGAGCAGCCCCATGCATAACCTACCTATTCATTCGTAGGCAAAGAAGCGAGGTATGGGGTGCAGCCAGATCAGAATCAGGCCCAATGCCATATGTTGAGGTTTTAAATGTTCATAAGACCTTAAAAACAATGGACTGATAAAACAATAGAGGACTGAAATTTCTGATGATTATTCAAACAGGTCGGGGTGAACACAAGAAGAAAAGGATTTAAATTGAGTGTGATTCCTGGTGCCACCTTGACTTTCCTGCATTTATCATTGACTTTCGCTGAATGATGCTGCTCTACCTTGTCATCGAACTCTGACACTCTGTTCTCTACCTGGTCCATCCTAATGGTGAGGATTCCTGATGAGCTTTTTGTTTATTCTGTTGTTGTTGTTGTTTTAATGTTTCCAGCATCCTTTTAGCTTGATTTTTCTTCAGCAATTCTCTTTGTTGGACACTATTTTTAGATTTAGGGTTGATTTTTTTATTTCATTCAGCTCATTGTTTTTGTTCTCTTAGCATACTTTCATGTTTTCTTTTTGTGTTTTGAACATAGTTCTAAGCATTCTTTTGAATTCTTCATCCGGAAGCTCTCCCACGTCGTTCTCACTGTGAGCACTACTGTGGAGTTAGTAGTTTTTGGAGAAGACATGCAACTTCTGTTTATGTACTGTATCTTGGTGTTTCATGTTGCTTCTGTTTCTGTACTGGCACTTATTTGTCTGGAGTTAGTTGGCTAAGTCCTATTTCTTCTTTCAATGGAGTAATTTACAATGTTCAGGAGAGGACTAAATTGTAGTAGGGTTAAACTATCATTTTCCTTTGTCGGCCTGGTCCTGGGGCAGGAGGCTCTAACATTTACCTTCCTGTTTTTTTTTCTACTTCTGACAGCTTAATTCCCCCCCCCCAGGTGAAGAAAGGCTCCCTTTACTCCATATTGGCATTTCTGAATTGAGGATTTGAATACAGACCCTATGTAGGTTTCCATGTACCCCCACACACGTTAGGTGTCTGAGAGCCATTTACCCATCAAGGCTCCCAGCTTAGTAGGTATGTGGTGCCTGGCACTCACTCCTCTTCTGGAGGTTACAGCTGACTAGCAATAAAGTTTGTTCCCCAAAGCAGGTAGAGGGAGTGGTACTGGCCACCCAGCCCACGGTGTGGACTGCTCTGCTCACCAGCAGACCCTGATCATCAACTCACCGTGCCCCATCCAGCCCTGGGGCACAGGCACAGGGAGCCCGTTCACACTTGGGGATTAACGGAATGAAATAGATCTGGGCCATGCATGCCAAGTCCATGTTTAAAGTTTGATCCTTTGGAAACAGATATACCTATGCATGCATTAATCTTCCTCTTATGGTCAGGAACTATTCTGGGTCACCTCCAGCCTCCTCCCTGTGTCCATAGTTCCCATTCCATGTTGGGGAACTTCTTGTGCCTATGAACCTTGCCCTGGGACACCTCAGGCTTCCTTCTGGGGCCAGCTGGGCATTTGTCTGCAGAGCAGATAATTGTGAATAAAAAGATTGGTAGATTTTATATCATATCTTTGCTAATGAGAGTATTAATGAGAGTGTGGGAAAACAATCCCAAGTGGTGGGAAGGTAAAATTGTACAAAAATTCTGGAATACAGCATAAAAACATAATTATAATAAAATCCAGAAGGTTAACTTTTGAACACACACTCAAAAGAATTGAAAGCTAAACCTCAAAGTGGTATTTGGAGAACCACATTCACAGCAGCTTCATTTCTGATGGGCGAAATACAGATGCACTCAAGGGAGAATTCACAGGTGAATACAAAAGACAGTATAGTAAACACATGTAATTAGTGTTAATTGACGTTTTAGAAGGTAGGGAATCCTGACTTAGCCTAGAGCATGGATGAATCTGGGTGAGATGGTGGGAGAAAGATAGGCCAATGGCAAAGTTACAAATACTGTTCAATGAAATTTCTTGGGATAATTAGGCTAACTGGAATCACACAAAAAGTACCTGGAATGGTACACTAGAATGATGGGTGCCAGGTTCTGGGGCTGCGGTAGATAGGAAGATATTGATCAGTAGATATTGAGTGAGTTTGATAGAGGTAATGACTCTAGAGGTGGATGGTGGTATAGTAATAGCTAAGTGACAATACAATACATTTATTATAACAAAACTATATATTGGAATGTGGTTAAATGAATTTGATGTCAAGTTCACATTACCATGATAAAATTTGGGGTAAAAATGAGAGCCGATTTCCTAAAATAAACCTCTTTATTTTAATAACCAATTTAATGACCTCTCCCAGTAGAAAGAGTTCCCGGAGCTGGGTTACAAATTCCAGCTTCTACCTTCCCATCTGAGTCCCACGCCTACCTGCACGTAAAGGAGACATTAGGCAGCATTTCCCTCAAATACAGTTGGGAAAGAGATATGCCAGATGAGAGGCAAGCGTTGCCCTTTGCAGTGGAAATTCAGCATCGTGTTTGCTGAATGTACGTGCTGAGGACAGAGGAACGATGAGGCTGATTTTAAAAGGACGAGGGAAACAGCAGGGGAGAAAGAGGCAGAGTGAATAATTTACACGAACAGATTCCTGGTAGGCTTGACCAGGCTTTGATTAGATATTTTCATCAGTTCTTGGATACCTGCACGCTAACATGACTTGACAATTAAAACTGAGCAATAGATGGAATTAGCTGTGTACTGGGAAACTATTCAAAATGGTTATGGAGAATGTCTCACTAAGACAGTATCACAAATATAGTGGGAATTTTAAAGATGTTACCTTGGGCTTATGAAAAAGAAAGCATCTTGTTTGTCTTCCAAATGTATCTTTTTCCATACAGGCATGTGTGATGCAAGTGACCATGAAAGATCAGAATGTGAGTTTCCCAGGCACATTTGTTTTGATGGGCTTCTCTGATCTCCCGTGGCTGGAGATCCCCCTCTTTGGAGTGCTTCTGGTCTCCTACATCTTCACCCTGATAGGAAACAGCTCCATTGTCTTTCTCTCCATGGTGGAACCTAGACTCCAAACACCCATGTACTTCTTCCTAGACAACCTTTCTATGCTGGACCTCTGTACCACGTATACCATTGTCCCGCAGCTGCTAGTCAATCTCTGGAGCCCAGAAAAGGCAATTGCCTCCTGGAGCTGCATGACCCAGGCCTACCTCTTCCACTGGACCAGCTGCACAGAATGTGCCCTGCTGGCAGTCATGGCTTTTGATCGCTATGTGGCCGTCTGCTGTCCCCTCCAGTATGTTCTAGTCATGCACCTCTGGGCATGTGTGTGGCTGGCAGCTGTGTGCTGGGCCAGTGGCCTGGCCAATTCTCTGGTTCAGGCTACACTCACCCTCTACCTTACCTTTTGTGCAAAAAATACACTAGATCACTTCTTCTGTGAGGTCCCCGCCTTGATTAAACTGGCCTGCGGTGACACCACTACAAATGACTTGTCCCTATCCTTGGGAGCTATTCCTTTTGGAGTAGTGTCTCCTCTGACCGTGCTCATCTCCTACACCTTCATTGCTAGGGCTGTGCTGAAGTTACCTTCAGCCGAGGGAAGGCGCAAGGCATTCAGCACATGCAGCTCCCACTTGCTAGTTGTCACCATGTTCTTTGGACCAGGTATGTACACGTACCTCCAGCCTCCAGGCAACAACACCCAGTCCAAGTTCCTCTCCTTCTTCTACTGTGTCGTCACACCAATGCTCAATCCACTCATCTACACTCTGAGAAACAAGGATGTGAAAGAAGCATGGAGGAGGATCCTATCCTCCCAGGGAAGGGGGAAGTCTTTGAAAGCCAGATGATCTCTGCCGGGCTCCTGGAAAAGCCACACGTTTAAGCCGGTGCTGCAGATTTGCTTTCCCAGAAAGATCGATGCCCAGGTTGAAATTCTCACCTCTCAAAATCAACAACTCTGAGGACAACAGAGACTCTTGACTAGAAAATTCTGTCTTCTCAAATCTCAGAGAAAGCCACGGTACTTTTTCTGGACCCTTCCCAGTTATTTCTATCTGCAGAAGAGAAATAGGCTATAGATATGAATACTGAAAGAAAAGCATTGTCTATAAATCCCTTCTAGTAATTGTTCTTTGGCCCTATACTCTCAAAAAAGTGTTCTGAAATTATTTGGAACAGATACATTCTCTTCAGTAATATAGCTACTAGTAAGTCACTGATTGCCCTGTCAATACTCCATAGCCTATGTTCCTGTTAGGAACTCTGACTCACCAAAATAAAAACAAACAAAAAACACATGAAAATAGAAAAGGACCAGTTGGGAAGAACAGGATCATCAGAAGTGAGAGGGATACAACAGGGTAATGGGAACATAAATTAAAATGCATGATTAAAATAAATTAGATACAATAATTACATATAAATGAAACCCACTATATGTAATATATAATAATTATATATAATGAATACATGTCAATCAAACACTAATTTTTTGAAAAAGATCTAAGTAATAATTTTAAGCATATTTTCATTAGATTTCTCCAGGTGCCTACTCAAACTATTTTAAACTTTCCTGCCTGAGAATCCCATATCTCCCCTTTTCCTCAAATGCTTCGCCAACCTACAAGTAATCATATCCTTACCTCATCTATGCTGACACAATTAAACATCATTGTCTCTGTGACATAATCGTTATATTTTTGGTTGTGAGCTTAGCCTTTAACAGCTGAGCTATCTCTCTAGCCCAACATAATCATTATAACATCACCATTATAAATTTACTTCATGAGCTGGAGAGATGGTTCAGAGGTTAAGAGGACCAGCTGCTCTTCTAGAAGTCCTAAATTCAACTCCCAACAACCACATGGTGGCTCACAAACCATCTATAGTGGGATCCGATGCCCTCTTTTGGCGTGCGGGCATTCATGAAGATAGAGCACTCATATACATAAATATACCTAAAAATGAATTTTCTTCATTTTTCTCAATTTAAGACAAACAGCATTGTCTTTTTGTGACATCTTACTATTTATGCTTTGTCACTTAACTCTGCTTAATTTTTCTATTTCACTATACTTTTGCAGACTAGAAAGAGTCCCTTTTTGTGTACATATGACACCAATGAGGATCCACCTGTGTAATACCTACCTGCCAAGCAGCAGCAGTTGAACAGGGGTTTGATCCAAGAGATAGCACAGGTATTGAAGTAGCTTTAGTCATATGCCAGCATTATGGGTGACTCACTTCTTTGCTTGTCTCATTGCTGTGACAAAATGTCTTAAGAAAAAGATTGTTTTTTCTCACAAATCAAGGACATAGTCCATGAAGAAGTCATGGAGGCAGGAGCTTGAGATGGCTGGCCACATTACATCCACAGACAAATGCAGAGAGAGAGCAATTCAGATGCTCAGCTCACATCCTCCTTTTTTTTTTCAGTCCAGGGACTCAGCCCATGGGATGGTACATCTCATACTTGGTTAGGTCTTCCCATATCACTTAACCTAATCTAGAAATCCCTCACAGATATGCCCTGAGGTCTGTTCCATGGTGAGTCAATGTACTGCCTTGTTGACAGCCAAGCTTAACCATGCCAGTTCCACCTCTTGTCCATTTGACACAAAAACATACACTTTTAGCCATAGCTTTCTATGTCTTGTCCATCTTATAAAGCAGAATGCATTCAGTCAAACTTCAAAACTCTCATAGTCTTTAACAGTTTCAGCTCTGTTTAAAGGTCCTAAATCTAAGTTTCATCTGAAATACAGCATGATCTCTTAACTGTGAATCTATGTACAATAAAAAACAAAAACAAGCTACGTGTTTCCAATATTTAATAATACAGAATAAACATTCCCATTCCAAACCAGAATAGTGAAACCCTAGCAATGAATGATCAGACCAAGACTGAAACCGAGTAGGGTAAACACCAAATCCTACAGCTCCATATCAGGCATCTGGGATCATGATGGAATCATCTTGGTTCCAAAACACTTGGGTAGCCCTTTCCCTCCATCTCTACCACCTGCCACATAAAGTAACTTCTCTCTTGGGCAAGCACTACTCCATCAGTGCATCTTTTCTCAGCAGACCTCCCCTTAGTCAATTACATCTTCAACATCCTGAGGTCTCCACTGTTTGCAACCCAGGCTTTGCCTTCACATTTGCATAAAATGGTCCTTGAGTAAGTCTAACCTGGTCACATATTGCCTGACTTTGGTGGCTTTCTGGAACCCTGGCAGAAAAATCCGTAATGCTCTCAGTCTTGTATCTTTCATGTCTGAAAAGTCATTATCACATGGATGACATTACCAAATTCTGTTGCTCCCTCAGGATGGAGTCTGGCTGCTTGAACCACAGTCTCTGTCACCCTTTGTATGCTGCCATAGGGAAACACTTTCCTTGGAAGCTGTTTTTGAGCAAGGAACCCCTTCATGGACATTTTTAGTTTAGATTCTCTCCTTTCAAATGAGTTTTAATGTTCAAAAGGTAGGGCCTTTAATTCTATATCATGCCCACATGTATCCAGACATGCCCAGAGGTTCATTTCCATGGAGACTAAATTCTATCAAGTTGACAATTGACATTAATCATCAGAGGTACTGTCATCCTTTGATCATAATGACAGAGTAGTAGGACGTTTTGAAGCAAAAACATTCTTCTGCCACCATAGACTCTACCTATGAAATGAATTGAATTGAGATGTGAAAACCAGCTGACCAAGAAACCCCAGGGATCCTTGTCTTGCTCCCTACCTAGGGCTAGGTTTACAGCAACATGTTGCCATAGCCAAATCTTTACATGAGTTTTGGGAATCCAAACTCAGGTCCCCATGCTCACAGAAAAGCACTTTACTAACAAAGTCACCCCTGTGGCTCACTTTCAGTTGGGAAAATATTAATAAAGAGATCCAAACTTGCTTTTCAAAAGACTTACTTTTAATTACATTTTCAATAAAAGAAAAAACTACTTTGTGAAATGGAAAGTCATACCCATATATGAGTATGTGTGTGTTTATAATTATAGTTATTTATTATGAAATTTTCTTCTTAAAATCTGCTATATTTGTAATAAGTAAGCATATTAAATGTGAATTCTGTGATTTCCTTGTCAAGGTGGATTCTAATCCTCAAATCAACACTGTAGAGGAATGAGAAATGGAGAAGAGTTAGATCTTCATACACACCATTTGTAATTCTATTATGCAATACAATGTGTCACATAAATGAAAAGTATTTTCCATACTCATACCTCTGTGCTTCTGTGGTCATGGAGAACTCTGTTCAAGAAAGCCAGTGCAGGACTGATGAGATGGCTCAGTGGGTTGAGGCACCTGCTGCCAAGCCTGACGACCTGGTTCCATCCTGGGAATAACACAGTGAAAGGAGAGAACTAACACCCTCAAGTACCTTCTAACCTCTGCACATACCATGGCTCACACATGGACACACACATCTGCAACCAAACAAACAAATGTTTGATGTTTTTGTGTTTTGTTTAACTTCTTTTTTACTTTCTTTTTCTCTATTTAAAGAACACACATGGTGGCATACAGCTGTAAACCCAGCACTCAGGGAGCAGCCAGATTGAGTTCTATGAGTTTGAGGCTAGCCTGATCTACATAAGGAGTTCCAGTTCGTAGTGAAACCCTGTCTCAAAAACAGTGTGCTGTGGGCATGGTGGCTTACATTTGTAATCCCAGCATTTGAGAGACTGAGGCAAAATTGTCATGAATTTGAGGCTAGACTAGCTACATGTTAAGTTTATGACCTATAGAGCAAGTCTCTGTCTCAAAAAAACAACAAAACACCAGCATGTGTAATCTCAGGCCTGAGGGAAGCAGTGTCCTGCAGAAACAGAAATCCAGAGCCTTGAGTTACAGTTTTTTCAGCACCTGGACAGCGCCTCTCGCAGCTCTAGTTCATAAACCTGAATGCAGATAAAGGAAACTTAAAGAATGAGGTCTCAAGAGTCCTTTACTGTTAATTGTCCTTACCCACATTCCCTCCTTTATCCTACCCTCCCAACAAAAGCCATAGGGAAACCTACTACTGTAGAAGCTTCTTAAAATATATACTTATATGAAAGGAATCTAATTGAAGTCACTAAATCATAGCGGAGACAATGCCCCAACTAGACATTTTTTTTTTTTTGGTTTTTCGAGACAGGGTTTCTCTGTGGCTTTGGAGGCTGTCCTGGAACTCACTTGGTAGTCCAGGCTGGTCTCGAACTCACAGAGATCCTCCTGCCTCTGCCTCCCGAGTGCTGGGATTAAAGGCGTGCGCCACCAACGCCCGGCCCAACTAGACATTTTATGCCATTGAGTAAAACCTTCAGTGGCAAGAATGGTTCTGTCTTGTTAAGTCATAGGCCAATGTATCCCATGAAACCCCCAAACATCTCAGACTACTTCCAAGGCTATTGGTTGCCCTCCACAACCTGATGGTAGAGCGCTGTTGCTGAAGACAACACTCACTTATGTCATCACAAATACAAAGAAGTTGAGCTAGTATCTAATAGAAGCTTTGTTCCACTAATATTCATGGTGCTGTAAGGTACTCTGCACCTTACAGGAAGAGCAAGTAGTCATCAATGTCACCAGCCAAAAACCCTGTGACCTACCACAGTGACCCGCCTGCAAGGTATGGTGGTGTGACAGTGGTACAAAGAGTGAGGAAGTAAGCAATGCTTTTTAAATTGCATTTAAGGCCAACTCCAGAGATGGGACCACACTTGACACTGCTAATAAGGCCAAAGACCCAAGACTAGGTAGGGCATGGGCCCTAGGGAAAAACCTACTACGGCTATTATGCTAAAGGGACCCAGCAATAAAATGACTCTGGGTGACATA